GTTTTTAAACTAAATAAACTAAAAAAAATGGTGCTGGCTGTTGAAAATAGCAATTCCAGTCCTAATAACCACTGGGAAAGATTTCTTGCTCAATTTTATCTACTTTTTCTACAGCAAGTTACAGTGGATCAGTACATTTGATTTGGGAGAAATGAAATAACAGCTGCCCAAATTGAGCTTGAGCACTCCTGAATTTTGAGGTGTTCAAATCTGGAAGGCAGGTGCTAGATTCCCTTTCTGAATATTAGCTAAATCTGGAAAGGAAAAGTCAATTTTTGCTTCCATGGCTCAGAAGTGGAAATCCTCCTATGTGCCTGGTACTGTATCTAAAGCTGCCCAGGTCCTCTAGTAGAGCCTCCCCTCCCTTACCTTTTAAATTTTAGTGGGATCCACGTACCTCCCTTGCTAGGCTTCAGATAGAGAGGGGCACTGTCCATTTAGTCCACCCAATTCCTTCTTTGGGGGATGCAAGGTGAGGTCACACCAGTATCCCTAATCCAGTCTGGGGAAGTCTTCTGAACGGGATATCTGGGCCAAAGCCTACTCCTTGGGCATACTACTAGGTTTATCATATGTCCGTATTTTCACGGACATGTCTGGCTTTTTCGGTTTTAATTGGCCGTCTGGGAGGAATTTGTAAAACTCTCAAAAGGTCCGGGATTTCCCTCCCAATGCAGAGCGCGGTGTGGCTGACAGGGCAGCTCGGCCAGACTGAGCCGCTCGCATGGGGCCTCCAGCAGCCAGAGCATCTCCCCTGCTCCCCCCCTTCCCTGCAGCCTCAGCATGCCACACCGACAGCACTCGGGGCGGGGCTGTGCGTGCTGCAGGAGAGCGCGCAGCGTGTCGGGCTCCGTGCAGAGCCAGACATGCTGGTCTGAGCAGCACAGTAAGGGGGCCGGGGGTTGGAGAAGGGGTAGGGAGTCCCGGGGGGGAGTCAAGGGACAGGTGGCAGGGGGGGTTGGATGGGTCAGGGGGGCTTGTCAGGGGACAGGGGTGTAAAGAGGGGTCAGGGCAGTCAAGGGACAGGGAGAAGGGGGTTGGATGGGTCAGGGATTCTGGGGGGGCTGTCGGGGAGGGGGTATGGAGAGGGGTTGGGGCAGTCAGAGGACAGGGACCACGGGGAGTTGGATGGGGCGGAGGTTCAGGGAGGCAGTC